TGGCATCTGTCTGGTCTCGTCCCTGTTGCGAAAAAAAGGATGCAGGCGGCGCCGGTGATACGGAATCGACACACCTGTTCCCTTCTTCCTCGCCCGTGACAGCCTCGTAGTTATCGTCCTGGTGTCATTCACATCGATCGTCTTGGCCCGTATAGGCCTCCCATACTGCTCCTCGTAAGCTCTCATGGAATCATGACAAGTGCCATCGACGTTGCTGATCGATCGCGCCCCCGCGGGCACATCTGTCGGTCCATATGTTGATGTCTGTCCGATATCGCCTGCCCTCCGGTCCATGCCCGCACCGTCGTAGAAAGACCTCGTAAACAATGCGCTCGGCGCGGCCTGCTCGTGGGCGGCAGGATCAGCGGTAGAGGGGCGTGAGGGTGGTGGACACATGATGTCACGCATCCCCGTCAAATGTGGTCGAGGCTCATCTATGTGCCCGTCTCCAACGTCATGTGTGTTGGGCCTGACAATGCTGGGGTGAGCGGTCGATGACCCTCTGCGCTCGATGCCCCCCCCTGAAGGACCGTCCACCGTCTGCGCTCCCTGGCTGCGCTGTATCCTCGCTCATGCCCTCGCCTCCGTCCGAGCGGATAACTCCGAGAGGCCTCGCCTCTAAAGTCTCCGCTCGGCCTCGATGTGGCTCTCGCTGCGGGCCCTCCTCTGGTGGATGGACTGATGACACGCCGTCCGATAACAGCTGCGAACCATAACCCCCCTGCGCCAAAAAATCTCCAGGCGCTGCCTCTAGTGAACCTTCCAGACTACGTTGAGCTGCGACATGCGGTCCACTACGACGGTTCCGTGCTGCCTCCTCTGCCAACCCCTGCTCCATCGCCCACGGTGCACCGACATGAAAAATGGCAGGAGTGCCGGACTCTGGAGGATGCAGTATCGTGTCGCCGCCGAACTCGTCGAACCCTCTGTCACGACACGCGTCATCTCGTCTAGCAGGCTCCGGTGGTGCCACAACCGGCAAAGTGGGAGATATGAGTAGCGATACATCGGGCAGAGATGCCAAGGCGGAATCCATAGTGAATAGCTCGTCGGTGGGCGGAAGACTGTCGGGCGGGCAGTCGAGGCCGACGTGGTGGTCCATCGGAGGACGTTCGTCCTCCCCGTCCTTTCCACAAGTGGGAGTGGGTGCAACCTCTCCCTCCTCTAGACCGCCGTCACTCGTGTGAGGAGGCGGCTCACGTCGTGCCCCGCCGTCCTCCAAACCCGCTCCTGTGGAGTGGACTGGGGCGCCTGCTGGAGTGCACCGAGTCTGCGCCTGGCGGAGTGGACCGGGTCCTCCGAACTCTGTCTCCTCCTCAGTGCCAACAACCGGCGCTGGCGACCGGGGATGAGTGATCCTGAACCCTGTATCCTCTTCGTCACTATCACATCAGTGTTCGAGGCTAGCTCCTCTGCATGAACCGGGTCGCGATGCGTCTCGTTGGAAGGATCTCCCATCTCGTCCTCTGACACGACAACCGGGTCCTGCAGCATGTCACGTGCCCCCGTGTCGATCGCAATGTGGACACGACGTCTGCGTACACGAGACGCAATACTTTCAATCGGCCTACCCCCGTGCCTCAACCACTTCAAAACGTAGCGACCACGGGGCATAAAATCGCCGTCCACA